TTATTATTATTATTATTAGCATTTAATTTATTTACCTTATTAGTTAAATCGTTTATTTTGGAGTTTTATTTGGCTTCTTTATCATCAAAGTTTGTCCAGATATATATATATATATATAAAATTAAATGTACAAATTTCTATTGCTATTATTATTATAAAGTATTTTCTTATTCAATCATTTATTTTGCAGATTTATTTAGAGCATTTTGTTTTTATTTCAATTCCTTTTCATCCAAATTCTTTTTTCTGTCACTGCTCAGGTGCATTTGTGGCTAAATTCTCCCGCCCTCAAAAGCGCTGCGGTGGGATCCTGTTCAGTCCTCAGGCCGTAGTGTGTGAGGTCAGAGGTCAGCGTTGCCTGATGTTCCGCGTCTGTAACCTGCTTCCACGGCCGCTGGTGGACGTGTGTGTGAGCGCCGTTCTCTACGAAGAACGTGACGACCACGAACTCCACCAAACCGCGATGGAATTCAGCGTCGATAACCTGGAGTCACGACCTTGCCCTCTTTTCCTGTCACCTCTGACCTTTTATCATCCTTTAACTCCAGCCAGCCCTCTAAACAACACTCCAAGCACCAAACACTTCGAGCTGGTGGTGTTCCTCACCGCTTCTCAGGAGAGCACGGGCTCCGGCTACCATAAGAGGACGTCCTACCTGCCCGATGAGATCCAGTATGGCAGCTGCTTCACCAAGGTGACGTCTCGGTACGGCAAAGGCTGTAGCAAAGCCGAAAGCATGCGTTATTTTGACACGCAGCCCTGTCCGCTCACGCTCCCAAACACACACACCGGCGACACACTGGAGAAAGAGCACGTGGTGGTCCAGATCAACGGAGAAGGCAGTGACCGGGTGGAGTAGCAGTGCTTTATTTTTATGCAAGGGTGTATGATTTCATAAGAATTCTCTGCTCATGAAAAGGGCATTTCATTTCTCAACACAACCTCCAGTTTATGACTTTTTATCCCAAAAGACAACCTCAGTTAGTTATGATCTGATATGTCAACCCGTCCCGTTAGAAACCCATCAAAACCATTTTTGCTGCTACGGACACATTTGTGTTTTCCAGAGCAACACAGATGAGTGATGGCTGCTTAAGATCTTGTTGGCAATAAGAGGATTCTCCAATAATTGTAAGTGACCCTGAATCCACTGACACCACAAAACCACCAGTTTAAGCCCTTATTTGTTCGGCGCCTGGACAATGTCACTGCGGTACCTGTAATGTATGTATCTGTGTCAGAAGGGCCCGTTTTCAAAATATAAATTATTAAAGCGCTACACACAGTGCTGGGTAGATTCCTTACAAATTGTAGTCCGTTACTGATTACAAATTACATGATGGAAATGATAGTTTGTAATGTAATCTATTGGATTACACATATCAGATAATGTATTCAGATTACTTTTAGATTACTTTTGACCTAAAATATATTCCATTCTTTGTTGTCAACATCATGAAATGTTTTAAACATTACATTAAGCCAGGGATTTGTGAATGAACTACAGGGGGTTTGTGAATTGATGAAAAGCTGGAAGACTTTCCAAATGTATAAACGCAGTAGAATTAGGAATAGATAGGAAGACAGAAAAATTTAAGAGAGAGCGAAAAAAGAAATTATGGCAAATCAAATTATGAATAATTTACTGCCATTGTGTGAATATGTAATCATGTAAACTATAAAAAAAGTAACTGTAATCCGATTATGAGCATTTTAAAATGTAATATAATCTAATTACAAGTACTTCATTTTTGGAATCTGATTACATCGTCCAGATTATTCTGTTACTACCCAGCACTGGCTACACAGACAAGGGTCATCCTTGTCCATAAAGTATTTTAAACCAACTATATGTTATGGATAGTTCAACCAAAAATGAAAACTCTGTCATCATGTACTCTACAGAAGTGGATGTTCATTTATTCATATAGAGCGTTGCCGTGATGATGTATTTTTGTAGGCCAACTCGGAAGTTCACTCTGGTTCCCTCGACAAAAACCCAATAGCATTTTTCCACAGTTTTTTGGATTATTGCATAAATGGAAGTCGGTGGTCAGCAAAAGTTTATTATTCTTACACCATGGTCGCATGACTTGCACCATTAAGCTTACAACAACTCTTTCAGTCTTTATTTATAACATTTTCCCTAAACGTCTGAGTTAAAATAGCTTGCAATAGCGTGATTATAAACACAGAGGCTGTAAAAGCAGACTAGAAGTGAGAAGATAAGTTTATCTGTTTGGCACACTGACGTTTAATGTCGTGATCAGCCTCTGTAGTCTCATTTAGACACTTGTTAGCGACCTCCTTTTTGAAGTGAAAGATTAAAAAAAACTAAAAAACAAAGGAGTATTACTAGAGGATTTTTATGTCGTAGAGTAAAATATCTTGAGCTTGTGTTAACCACAGACTTAAATTTAGGCATTTAACCAAAAACCCAATCAAAAAACCCACTGGCTTCAGAAACCAGAAGTCAACCAAATGCTTGTTTCTGGATTTTGGCCTACAAAAATATGTCATCCCTGCAGCACTTATTATTATTAAACACTCAATGGAAATAAAATGACCTTTTTTTATATTTGGTTGAACTATACCTTTAAAGTGTTCATTAACACCCCTATTAAAGGTGGGGTAAGCGATTTCTGGTAGCCAATGTTGACATTTAAAATCACCAAAACATAAACACCCCCCTACCCCAAAAGGGTCTCGCCCCTATTTTGATAGCTCCGCCCCACACATACATACGCAACCCAGGCAACGATTAGTTCTGTGAAACAAAGCAAAACCAATGTTACACCGTGTCTACACCGGACGCGAGCAGTGCGGTGCGACAAAATACTATAGAACTCCTTATAATCAGTGATGCTGTCTACAGCATAGATATATATACATATCTATGGTCTACACTGGATGCAGCGCGGCACGACACGACAAATCCCCGACAGAAAACTGCTGCTGCGTTCTATTTATGACATGTTGACACAAATTTCAAATGATTTTCAATGGTAGCTTTGTCACATCCAGTGTACTAGACAGACTTTAGCTGTTACGGCGCAGACACGGTGTTACTCACCTATCGAGAAGAAACAAAGCAACTTCGGCGTCCGATCGCAGGCCTTCCGCTCCTTGAGTTCTCTCCAGCGCTGGAAATCTGATCCGATATTTACACGGGTCCTACATCTTGCCAGCACGTTCTCCTGTTTTATTGTTGGTTTCCTCTTTTCTGATCATTTGGAATGAGGATAAAAAGATTTTTAAAAAAAACATGCAAATAAGTTCAAACATCAATTATATCTACTATATCCTGAATATTATGAAATTTAAGATGGCCGCCTCTGATGACGTCATAATATGCAAATTAGACGAGTATATTTACACCCCACATAAACTTTCAGTCATGCCCAACATTTTTCTAATTTACAGTAGATCTCTATCTTTAAGCCCTTTCAAGCCACAAGCTTTTGAAATCTTGATGTCAAAATCCAGCATTTTTCCCAAAAATCCCTAGCGCCTAAAGGGTTAAGCCTTCTTTTGTTCCGCAGACGTTTTTCCTCTTTTGTTTTTTATCCGCCATCTCGATCTTTCTGTCGCTCGGCTCAGTTAATGTCCGTCCCGTGCACTGAACGCTCTCCTCCACATCATGAGTAGACATGCCCCTTACTGCTGATTGGCTACAAGTTTGTTTTGCTATTCGGCCGAATCAGTTTTCTAAAGCATTTTTGAAAAATCGCTTACCCCACTTTTAAGTGCCTACTGACAAACTTTTTTTTTTCCACCAAAGTCATGAAATGGACTTTTGGATGAAGACATTGAATATTGAACTGAACATTAACAGTGATGTAAATAATAAAGTATATAGATAAATAGATTATTTACTAGATTATTTTTGGGAAAGAAAATCTCAATATTATCAGTGCAATGCAATCTATGCAATAAAACAAATAAAAAATGAGCACAATCCTATTGGTGGCAGAACACTATGATTTTTACTCTGTAGGTGATTATGCACATGTACTGTCAATCAGGAAAGACTGACTGCTTTCACTTTATTATTATATGTGTAAAGCATGATTGTTAAACTCTGGAAGGCTGGAAAAGCATTGTATTAATTCAGTTTCCAGCAAACAGGCCACTAATCAAATTCTTTCAAGCTAACTGATCTGTAAAAGAAATGTCTTTATTTTGATATGTGGAACACAAGACTGGATTAAAACATCTGTGAAAATGTTGTGGTTGTGTTTTTTAATCCTTACAGAACATTGTATGCTTTATTAGCAGTAAATATTACATAGTTAACACAATTTATGTCATCAAACCACTTATTTTGCATGTTTTGTTGACCAATTCCTGTGCTGCCATCTAATGGCTCTTTAGAAAAAAGACATGCCACTGATACAACAATTATTACATTTTGCACATATGGATATATATATATATATATATATATATAGGGCCTATAATAGTATATAGTAGAGTTAGACATGCAAATGAATAAAATTATATAATATAATAAACTGATAAATATATTGCAATATAATGTAGGTATAATATAAATATAATGTAGGTTCACTGAAATGTAATTTTAAAGTAATTTTAAAAAACATGCAAAAAATATTTTTTTGAAAAATACAGTGATTTAATGGGCTTTAGTTAAAAGGAGTTACAGGTAGATTTTATGAACATCTGATCAAATACAATTAACCAAAAATTAACAGCAATAATTAGCTGACGAATATGTAGAAAACAGTTAACAAAAAAAGAAAACGGAACAAAATACATGATTAAAATCTATAAAAAATAAAAATATTTTCTTTATTAACTTTATTTCCATGGTTTCTTTTTTCTCAGTTGGTCATAATCAATATTTAGTCCACGACACCATCTTTGCATGTATTTAAAATTATGATTAGCACTGAATAACTTTACAATAAATGTTTTTGCTTCTAAAAATATATAGTTGCTTAGATTAAAATAGAAGCACAAAAAGAAAGAAAGAAAAGAAAAAAGAAAAAGAAAAAGATCTAGTCTATTAGAGTTTAAGTCCTACATTAGAAGTCTCCTGAAATTTCACTGGCGTCATCTCGTCTTCTCCACAGCCATCACCCACGAAACAAATTCCTCATGCATATTTCAGGACAGCTGTAAGCGGCTAATAACGCTAATGCTACTTGTTCAGTGTTCGGCTGTGGTTTTGATTACACATAGGTGTGAGGTTGGAGAAGCAGTGTGTGCATGCGTGTATGTGCTTGTGTGCAAGTAAACTGCTCTCTAAAAGGCGTAGATCTGCTGAACTATAGTTTTAGGAGCAGAATGTGGACTGCAGCTCTTTAAATGCAGCACGCCGTTGTTTTCTTTCCAGTTCCATCTTCTTCTTCTCTTCTTGTTCTTCTCGTATCTCTGCTTCAAACTTACTGCGCACAGACAGAGCCTGAACCTACCAAACACACACAAAATACATGTCATATGCCTACAACATAAATGTAAATAAATGCATTGCTATTGCTGTTGTCCATCTAAAACTATTTATAAATTAATTTCTTAGGTGTGTTCACTAAACTTGAAGCTGAAGACTATATAGCAAAACTAAAAGTACCAAAAACTGTTTTCATTAACTGAAATAAAGTTAAAATAAAGCTAAAATAAAATAAAATATTACATGAAAAATGTAAACTTAAAAAACTTTGAAATGTTGCCTTGGCAATTAATTAAAATAAATCAGCACTAAAATTTCTCCAACCACAACTGGAAAAAAAAAAATCAATAACATTTTTATGTTAACATTTATTTAAATAATTAAAAAAAAACAACTTTACAAACTATTGAAAATGACAAAAGCACATAACAACGTTACGAAAACGTAAACTATAATTCAAATAAAAACTGAAATATAAACATACAGAACTATTAATATTATATAGTAATAAATCAATGGGGAAATATTAATAAATATTATAATTGTGTATAAAATAACACTTGCCATACAGGGTCTATAATACTATATAGCAGCATTTCCCAAATGAGATTAAGATCATGAAAATGCTGAATAAAATTAAATAATAATAGAATAGAATAGAATAGAATAATAATTATTAAAAATATGTATACATAATGTATACATAATAATACTGAAATACAATTAAACTTAAAAAAAAACAAATTTTGAAATGTAACTAAAATAATAACCCTAACCTAACCTAAACATGCAAAAATTGTTGCAAAAATTCGACACTTTATTTAATACAATAAATCATATTTTGAAAGGTTAACATTATTAAAAGTATCAGAATGTACTTTAAGTAAATAATTTAGGACATAGAGGTTCAGCTAAAAAACAAAAATCTGTGCTTTTTATAGTGTAACAACTGTCCTCTGTAATATTTTTTTATTGTGTTCTTTGAAGATTTCAGACTTTCATGTACTTACACTGTATGACCACAAGGGGGAAGCTATGAACATGCTTGCCCATGCATCAAAACACACACAAACATAAAAACCCACAAACCTTTGCCTCAAAGAAGTCCCTCGCTCCAAGAACGCCTTCGGTCGAGACGTCGATCTCTGAAAGTCGAGCGAGAGCCATCAGACCGCTCTCTTCCTGCAGCTCACCTGCGGCGGCCCTCCGGAAGATCAACAGGAACTGACAGAGATGGACAGATTACGATTATAGGGAAATTTCAATGGCTTAAAGGTTATCAACATTTCTATGCAATTCTAAAAATAAACACAAAAGATTCTGATATCGGTTGCCATGTCAGCATATATAAACCATCAATTCAGCTTTGTTTTGATTTCCCAAACTGAAAGATACAGCAGATCTTTCCTTTTAACAGCTACACAGTATATACTAAAGAGTAGATTCTTTAAAATGTAATTTTGGTTGTTAAAATTTAAGTGCAATTTTATGTAAATTAATTTTAGATCATGTCCAAACAGAACTGATTTCATTGAGGGGAAGGGAGAGGTCAAAAGAGTGACCTTATATCGGGTTTCCCCCCTTTCTCTGCACAATCTGTGTGTGTGTGTGTGTGTGTGTGAATCAG